TCGCGGAGAGGAAAGGAGGACTGGGAGAGGGGGGTTCCGGTTCCGGTCCCACCTGCATCTCGGTCCCCGCGGTTAGCTCCGGCGGCGGCGGCAGCTCCCGCTCCCTGCCCCTCCCCCCACCCCGCGGCGGCCTCCCAGCCCGGCTCTGCGCAGGCTCCGGGACCCCTCTCCCGTCACCGGAGGCAGCAACCATAGAGAGGAGCGGGCGGGAAGGGCACCTTCACGCTCACTTCCGCCGCCCTCCCGCCCCGCGGAGCGCGGAGGCCGAGGAGGTGCGCTTCCGGTGGCCTCGGGGACGGAGCGGCCGAGGGGCGGCTGCGTCCCCAGCGGGAGGCCGGGGCCGAGGAGAGGAGTCGGCCTTCAGAGAAGCCACTTGAGGGGGTGGCGTCGCGAGGGGACGCCGGGGCCGGCAGCAGCGAGCGGAGGAGGCGTTTTGACGGCGCGCGGCAGCCTAGGCGTCCGCGCCGCCGCCGCCCGGAGGAGCTGGTCCCGGGAAGACGGGGGTGACCTCGGTAAGGCCCCGCGAGGAGGCGGAGCCTGGACCGGCGGCCTTGGCTCCTCGAGGAAACGGCGAGACGTTGGACGAGGCTCGCTCTCCGACCCGGGAATAAAGGCAGGGGCGGGGAGGGAGCCAGGAATAACGCCCCTTTGGGCCGTGTCGGTGGACTTGGGAGGCGGCGGACGTTCAGTCCGGGGCTCAGGAGAGCCATCAAGGCCGGAGACAGAACCTGAGGAGCGTGAGGGTGCAGAGGATGGCTCACACCGAGCGCAGAGACCTGTCAGTCCGGTTCCTCTGACCGCCCCGACTACCCCGCGCAGTAGGGGAACTGCTTGCTCGAGCGGCTGAAAACCCCGGAGTGGGCTCGCTTCCTCAGGACGACCCACCGGAATCAGAGGCCGAGAGGTGCCAGGAGCCCGTGCGCACCTCCTCCCGGCTCCCGGCTCTCCCCGGCCCCAAACGCTGCATCCTCGCAGCTCAACGCCTCCAGCAGGAGCATGCCTCTCCAGTGAGGTGCGCCATGGTCCCAGAACTGACTTTAGCTTTCCTGTCTGGATTCAGTGCTCATCCTGGAACACGGAGGCAAGGACCCAGGAGCGTGGCGATGGGGAAAAGCCTGAACTCACACACGCACGTTGGTGCAAGGCCGAAGCTGCCTGGCGCCGTTGGGCACATCCACTGTGGCCTGGCCAGCCTTGGTGCCCCCGGCCTGCGCTCTAACCGGACATCAGCGCACAGATAGCCTTGGTTAATGGCTCCGTCCATCTTCGTCCACCCATCTTCCCGGTTCAGAGAAAGATATCGATGGAAAAGAGTTTAGTTCTGTGGTCGCCTTCTCCCTGGTACCCGGACACTCACCTTCTCTGGGCCTGGAGCTGAGACATAACTCAGGCATAGATATTATCTCTAGAGAGGAAAGGTTAGGGGTCCAAACCCCATGGCCAGAGAGATGCTAGGGGAGGAAAGGTCATCGGGGGAGCAGGGTCCCACCCTTCAATGGATTGTCTGTTGTGACATCCAGGCACCTGGGGCTTTCCACCCTGGTGACCTGCACCTGGCCCATTGCCCTTGCTCTGCTCATGTCTGTTTAATGGCCTGTCACAAAGAGCATGTGGCTAGTGACTATTGTATTAGTCCAGGAGGTGTCTGGCCAACCAAGTGGAGCTCTTCAGCAGAGATGGATCAATGGTCTGAACTGCACAGGGCAGTTTAGTGGTGATCAGACATGATAGTGGTTGAAACCATGGATATGAATGACATTGTCCAGGTAATATATGTAGAAAGAGGAGGGCCAGAGCCTAATTCGGGGAATGAGACAAAGAAAGAGGAGTAAAAAAAATTGCAGGGATGATGTCTTCTTCCCAGAAGCAGACCCTGAGATGAGGATTTGTGTGCAAGTTCTTTATTTAAAATGTGCTACAAGAAGAAACCAGTAAGGGAGCGGGGAAAGCAGGAGAGAAAACCAAGCAAGCATGTGATCTCAGGCAGCTTTACCATGGGGGAGCTCTGGATGTTAAGTTATGCCTCAGATTTGTCAGGAAATGAGGGAACTGGGCCTTACATATACCAACATCCCTTACCTGTTGACCAAGGGTTGCCCCAGGAGATGTCAATTCCAAGGCCAAGCCTCCAACATTCCTCAAACGAAAAACAAAAACAGAAAAACCACCTGGAAGTTCTATTAGAAACCCCACACCAAAGACCAGGGTGGGTGGGAGTATAGAGTGTATATGGGGGGAGGGGCAAAAACAAATGATAAACAGAGATCCATAATACTGCTATCGTCTTCTATAATGACTACCATTGCTCAGTGACCTTGGTGAGAATAATTTTAGGGACATGGTGGAAGCAGAAGCCAAATGGAAGAGGACTGAAGAACAAATGGAAGGCGAGTAAGTGGGAGGAGGGATGTGGAGAACTATCTCACAGTTTGACCAAAAGGAAGGAAAGAGAGATGGCGGGCTGTAGTTTGAAAGGGAAGAAAAGATTTGCCTGTGTATATCCCAAGGAAGACCTAATTATGTCAAAAGTCTAAGGAGAAAGGAGCCAGTAGGAAGGATGGTAACTGAAGGAATGAGTTTTGGGGAAGGTGGGAAGGATGGGATCCAGGGCCCACGTTAAGCCAAGATTGATAAGGAAGTGAGAAACATGTCTTCCTCAGTAAGAGGGCATGTACTTCTCAAGATGCTTTCAGCTACAATGGAAACTCCAATTTAAGGTTGATTGAACATAAAAAGAGGGGGAGTTTGTTGGTTCACAAATTTGAAAAATCGAAGATAGAATGACTTTAGGCATGCTTAGAGCCAAAAGCTCAAAGTCCATTTGAACTTGGTCTCTTTCTCTTGGTTCTGCTTTTTTTCTGGACTATCTTCATTCTCAGGCAGATTGTACCCTCAGAGGTAGCAATATGGCTACCTGCAGCTGCAAGCTTACCCAAGTAACAACCCTAGCGGAAAAAGATCCTGGCTTTCCCAACAGCTCCAACAAATGCAGTCGGGTTGAATTTCATCAGCTCAGCTTGGGTCACCCAATAAACATCTGTTGTATAATAAAAAATTTGTCTGATCTTTGTCCCATGTTCCTGGCACAGAGGATTAAAAGTACGTGGTAATTCCAGAGTGATAGAAGTGTCTGTTATTCATGAGCCCCTTAGGTGACTCATGGCAAGCCCCTAAATATCTTCAGGATGGGGGCTGGTCACCACAAAGACCAACGTTGTGATAAGAGGGTTGGGATTTTGAGCCAGCTCAGCATCCAAGGAGGGCAGGGAGGGGGCCTGGAGATTGTGTTCAGTCACATGGTAATGATTTAATCAATCATGCCTAAATAATGAAGCCCCAATAACTATTCTGGACAGTGAAGCCCAACCAGTTCTTCCTGGTTGGTGAATGCATTGATGTTCCAGGAGGATGATATGTTGATTCCATGGGGAGAGTGGATGGATGCTCTGTTTTTGGACCCTCCCAGACCTCACCCTATGTGTCTCTTCATCTGGCTGTTCCTGACTTGTATCCTTGATTATAAAACTATAAGCATGAACCATAGCGCTTTCCTGCATTCTGAGTTGTCCTAGCAAATTATCAAACAGGGAGTGGGGGTCATGGGGAACTCCCACATCTGTAGCCAGTTGGTCCGAAGTGCAGGTGGCTGGGGGACTCCACTTGCAGCTGGCACTTGAGGTGGGGGCAGTCTTGTCAAGGACTGAGCCCTTAACTCGTGTCTATGCTAACTTTGGGCAGTTAGTGCCAGAACTGAACTTGGTTAGTACGTCAGTTGGGGTAGAAACAGAATACTAACCCTGAACCAATACTTGCAACCAGGAGGGATAGAGTATGCTAATTTGTAAGCTGGATCGTGGACCCATCTGAGATTGGGGTGGCTGAGCATGGCAGAAGGTGGTGCTTTAAAGGAAAAACAGGGTCCGACTGAAGGGAAGTGGTTGCTTGTGGGATTCTTCTGGAGGTCATCCTGACCCTCCCTCACCCCAAGAGAAGGGGCTTTCTGGCATTTTGTCTTCTTTCCTGGATGTCACAATCAGCCTTGGTGCTTTGGCCTAGACCTCCTGGTCCTCCAAGTCTTAATCGGTTCTGTCGGCAGTTTGACGGCCCAAAGAACTCCGGCTTTACTTCGGCTCTGCCTCTGAACAACACACACCGTCTCCCTCACTGCTGTCCATCTTCTTCCCTTCGGTGTCAGGGAAGGGTGTACCCCTCCAGGAAGCCAGGTGTGGCCGAACCGCCTGGGCCATCTCTCAAGTGCCTTTTACTTGGCAGCTGTTGGGTGCCATTCACTACGTGTTTTCAATTAGAATGTCTCCAGTCACATCTGAGTGATATGGGTATGATCAAAGTTCTGTGTTTGGAAGGGCATTCAGGTCCAGCATGGGCCTGGGGCTTGGGGCTGGAAGCAGAGAGGAGACTGTTGCAGTGTCTGGGAGAGCTGATGCTGACCTGGCCAGGGTAGTGCAGTGGGGTTATACCAAGAAGAATGTCCAGAGCAGCCGTGGGCAAACTACGGCCCGCGGGCTGGATTTGGCCCGTTTGAAATGAATAAAACAAAACAAAAAAAATTCCGGCCCTCCGGTCCAGTTTAAGAACCCATTGTGGCCCTCGAGTCAAAAAGTTTGCCCACCCCTGGTCCAGAGAGATCTCTGAGGAAGCACTGCCAGGCTGGCTGGTGGGGAGAAGAGTGAAGGATGGCCTTGAGCTTCCCAAAAGTCTGTTCAGTGACTCTGAGGACAAAGCTCTGGGTCCTGGTCCATTAAGTTGCTGGCCAGCCCAGTACTCATTTCAATTACAACCTCCTGTTAGAAGTCAGGGTTACAATAAAGCTAAGAAACCATACAGTTTAACCTTGCCACTCCATCCCCATTGTATAGATAACAGAGGCTTGAAGTTAGTGACTCATCTTTATTTTATTTTATTAAATATATTTTTATTGATTTCAGAGAGGAAGGAAGAAATAGAAACATCAATGATGAGAGAGAGTCATTGATCGGCTGCCTCATGCATGTCCCCTACTGGGGATCGAGCCCACAACCTGGGCATGTGCCCTTGATTGGAATCGAACCTGGGACCCTTCAGTCTGCAGGTTGACGCTCTATCCACTGAGCCAAACTAGCTAGGGCGACTCATCTTTATTTTTAAAATGAATGTG